GCACCCAGGCACAAAACCACTTGCAACTTTCGTAGATAATTTTCAGTTAATAGCTTGGAAAGCCCCATTGCTTTGGTCCTTTATTATACTTGACAGGTTTATATAGCAAAACCTTGCAGAAAAATAAGGAGGCTGGAATCATAGGGCGAGAAGGGATTTGACTCTTTATCTCCCTGTTATATTGCGCTAACCACCATCTGAGTAAAATCATAGAAATGTCATGCTATTCTATATTCATTTTTTTTGCATGCTGGATTAATTAGTATGACTTAAAGAGTAATATCCCATACAAATAGAGTTAACTTGATAGTATTTATTTATCTGTGATTATCCCAACATCGGGAAAACTGCTTTCAGGCTTGATCTGTAAAGTAATTGTGAAGGTTAAGTATAAGAGCCAGTTTGGTCTAGTTGTTAAGGCACCAGACTAGAAAGTGAGAGACCATGAATTTTACTCCTGCCTTAGCCATGAAAGCCAGCTGGGTGATCTTGGGCCCAATTCATTATGGAGAAAATAAGAGGAGAAAGGTGTATTGGATATGTTCCCGGTCTTGAGTTATTTGTGAAAATAAGAAAGGTGAAATACATTCACACACACACACACACAAACACACACACACACACACACAAATACATACATACATAGTGTTAAGTCTTTGTTCTAGAATCTTGCCATCTAGATTTCTACTGCTGCTCATGTAAATAAAAGAATACTGAGTCAGATACAGAAAATTTCCAAGAAGAAATATTTGAACACAAGCCAATAAAACTAAAAAGGATTATGGAAAGTAAAAGAGAACATTTAATGAGATAGAAAGCAACCTATATCCTTTATCCAGACTCTAGTATTTCTACACAGTATCTATGGAACTCAAGGCCAGGAAAAATTATAAAATGTGGGGTCATGTATTTCTTGCTAATAGACATCTGGAAAATGAAAGAAATGTTGCTGCAGAAGACCCTATGTAGTCATTCCAGAAATTTACATGTGAACTATTACAGGAAAAATATATATGAATAAAGTTGTTTGCAATTAGCATATTCTATGACTTGGGAGAGAAAATGTACTACTTTTAGGCTTATGGATATCTATCAAAAACAAGACCCAAACTTTTGAATATTGGACAAAGTCTATAAAAGGAGAATATACACTGAAGTCAGTTCTGTTGCAAGTAATGGGTACCTCAGATTTTTCCCACCTGCAGATTGTTTAGTTATATCTGTTGAATACATTTCTTTACCAGCTTTTGATATAAGCTTGCACCAGTGATTTCATTATATAGATGCTGGCTATGGTAATTTTTGAGATCTTTTGTTACAAGATTTGGCTCTTAGCAGTATAATAATATTTTAATACAGAAATACACTTTTTATCTCACTTTATTGTTAAAATGCTCATTATACACTCAAGAAATGTTGCTGCAGAAGACCCTATGTAGTCATTCCAGAAATTTACATGTGAACTATTACAGGAAAAATATATGGATTATATCCAAATGTTACTGCAGAAGACCCTATGTAGTCATTCCAGAAATTTACATGTGAACTATTACAGGAAAAATATATGGATTATATCCAAATACTCCTTGGCATAATTACAAAAATTGGGACAAGAACTTCCATTGCTAAATGATGAGGTTGTTAAGTAAGTCTGATTTTACTACCTTATTTTCCTGTGGTCATTAACTGAATCACACATTTAAGTGAAACCAGCTTCCTCCATTGACTTTGCTTGGCAGAGGCCCCCTGGAAAGGTTGCAGATAGCAATCACATGACCTCAAGATGCTGCAACTATCATAAATACATGCCAGTTGCCAAGCGCCAAATTTCACAAACGCTTAAACTAATGCTTAACTTAAATAGGGTCATATGAAGATTTCTAAGAGAAAAAAAAACATAGTAGAGAAAGGAAGAGAAAATGAAAATGTCATGGAAAGTATCAGAAGCTCAGTACTCATAAACATAATGCCATTTTGAAGGGCTTAAAGCAACTTTTCATATAGTAATTCAGCTGAATTTTTAACTAGCCAGTTAGTTGACAATTGCTCTTAATAATTAACATCAATTAATTAAATGTTAGGGGGCACGATGGAAAGTACCCATTTTACTAACCTCGGAAGGATGGAAGACTGAGTCAACCTTGAACCGGTGAGAACCGAATTCCTGGCAGTGGGAATGCAGAATTAGCCTGCAATACTACCTTCTAACCACTTTCCTGTCAAATATAGTCATAGAGACTGAACTTTAGCTCAATTTTTCACTGCCACGTTGCTATTTTGTTGTTGTGGAAATGGATGCAAATAGGCCAAACAATTCTCCATGAGCATTTAATTAAAACTGAAGGGCTCCTTGTGAGCCAGCATTCCTTTCCTAATAATGCCACGATACGGAAATGTTTATTATTATCTCCTTTATTAGATACGTTCTCACTGGGTTATATGATGTGTCACATTAAATTAGATTCCATTTTGGAAAGTGTTTGGTTTTCAGGTTACTGCCTGGGATTCACTTTCTGCTTTGAATTTAATGAACAAATCAAGTTGCCATGTTGATAACTGAAGGCTTATCACTAACCTTTCTATATTTACCAGAGGTCAGCTTGAATTAGTGTCTCTCTCTTTCTCTGGGCAAGCAGGAGATAGAAAAGATGTTTATAAAAAGGATAAGGTGTAATTAAAGGTTTAGGAATTATACTTGCATTTCTCACATATTCCTATATAGGTTGACTTAAATCTCAGTGGTATATACCTTGCATTTAGAAAGCATTATAGCACTTCTTTCAGAGGACAGAGAAGAGGAAAAAAGAATCTTGAATAGGTAGGCTAGGAATAAGCAATTATCTACAGGACCTTCTACTAGACCGAATGCATAACTCAGGCAGAATAGAATAGAATAGAATAGAATAGAATAGAATAGAATAGAATAGAATGGAATAGAATGGAATGGAATGGAATGGAATGGAATAGGAATAGGAATAGGAATAGGAATAGGAATAGAGCTGGAAGGGACCTTGGAGGTCTTCTAGTCCAGCCCCTGCTCAATATGTTTATATATTGATAAACAAAGCAGTTAGGGATTTTGTAAAATCTTTCTTGCAATCAATTGCAAAGTTATCTTAAATTTAAGGAGATGATATAGAGATAAGTAGAATATAGAGAGATAGAGATAGAAGGCAGAGAAATAAATAGATATGAGAGAGATAAAGATGATGAGAGAGAGATGAGAGAGGGGGAGGGAGAGGGAGAGGGAGAGAGGGTGAGCACAACATGGGAGAAAGAACCCTAACCTCACAGGGTGACTCAGTTTATCCTGAGTACTGAACCTTGCAAAATGAGACTATAGAGAATAGACTTAATAATTTAAATGGAGAGAAAGAAAAAGGAGGGCAGGAATCTAAGGAAGTACAAGTCTTACAGAAAGTTGTATTTTCTTTACATTCCTAAAACTGGGTATCTCAGGATTTCATTTTGTGGCTTTTAATATCTGACTGGCCAACTCAAAATGTTGGGCTTTTTTAAACTTATTTTTATTTTATTCCAAAAAAGATAAAATACAAAACTCCCAACATTTTTAATAGACATAAACAACAACAACA